CCCCCATAAAGTTTTGGCACGTGCCCAAGGACTAAAATCTCCTGGAAACTGATGATCTATTCTAGCGGACCGGGAGGACCGAGGAGACCAAGCAAGAAGCTGCCAGATCGAGTGACGAGCGGTTGTGATGTCAACTCCGGTGTCTGCGTCTGCATGCATTGCACGGCCGCCGCTGGAGCAGGAACGATGGTCGCCGTCGGCATCGTTCCGCTTGCAGTCAGCGACCAGAGCACAGCGCGTACATTCGCAATCGATCGAGTTGTTTGCTTGTACACACGCTTAATTTGTGGTCCAGGTTAGCTGTGCCATGTGATATGTGTACAGCCACCTTCCAGTCGATCGATCTGCTGCACGCTTTGTCGTGAACACACATGCATAGTACAATGCAACTACTTTCTCTTTGTAGCTAGGTAAGCCCTCGTTTAGTTCGGCGCGGAATCGGCGCCGTCAGAGTTACTGTAGCCACAGTAGCTACTGTAGCGTTTCGTTTGTATTTGGTAATAATTGTCTAAACGTTGACTAATTAGGCTCAAAACGTTCGTCTCATAAAGTACAACCAAACTGTGCAATTAGTTTTTGATTTCGTCAACATTTAGTACTCCATGCATGTACCACAAGTTTGATGTGACGGGGAATCTTCTTTTTGCATAGTGCCAAATTCTAGAAGTTGGGGGAATTAAACAGGCCCTAAGCTTTCGAATAGACTGCCTCAACCCTCAGTCTAGAAACAATATAATTCTAGAATAATGCTCAGTTAAACTATCTTAAGTTTGATTAATTAAGTTCATATAAAAAATGTTAATGCTTATCATACACTAAAGAAATATCATGTCACGAAATATATTTCTATAATACATATCTATGTAAGGTCTTAAAAATTGATACCGTTTTCCATAAACTTGGTTAGACTTATGTTAGTTTGACTTGGATCAAACTTGAATACTCTTGTGGGCGATAAATTTTTCTATGCGTTTTTTTCGATACTCACAGAAAAATTAGTAATTAAAGTGTGGGTTCTAAAAAAATCGACAGAAAAATATGAAAACCATAGAATAATTACATGATTTTTCTGTGTGTGCCAATACACACAGAAAAATTACAATTATTCTGTGGGTTTCTACAAAACGCACAGAAAAAAGTAAGGAGGAATTCTCTGTGTGCCATTAAAAAAGATCGCAATGCCCTGTGTGCCTCTAGAAAAGTTCAGCGGTCTTCAGCGTCACTGCTCCAACTTTTTTGTGCCCTCCATGCCACTGCCATCAGTTTGGGCTCTAACGCCATCAAACTGCAAATGTGAAAAGTCAAAAATATCCCTAAGTTTAAATGTCGTTAATTTTTTTAAGCATGTTAACGACTTCAAATGAAAAAACTCAAAACTAGAGAGTTGTAGATCTCGTCAAGATCTATAATTTTTATATAAAAATTATCTTCATTTAATTCCGTAAAAAATATATTATTTTTCTAAGATATATTAATCATATCAAATCATATTTTTTTTGCGGAATTAAATGAAGATAATTTTTATATGAAAATTATAGATCTCGACGAGATCTACAACTTTTTAGTTTTGAATTTTTTTTATTTAAAGTCGTTAAGATGCTAAAAAAATTAATGATATATTTAGACTTAGGGGTATTTTTGACTTTTCACACCGGTAGTTTGACGGCATTAGAGCCCAAACTGACGGCAGTGGTATGGAGGGCACAAAAAAGTTAGAGCATTGACGCTGAAGACCGCTAAACTTTTCCAATGACACACATGACATTGCGTTCTTTCTTTAACAGGACACAAGGAATTCCCCCTGGCTTCTTTCTTCGTCCCTCCTCCGACTCCTCCACTTCTCCCGTTCCATACGTAGCGGCGGCGCCTGGTGAGCCCCCTCGCGCGTCGGGAGGGCCGGCCAGCAGGTGAGAGAGAGGGATCCAACGGCATGGCAAAGACCCGGTGAAAGGTCGAGATGACGGACTAGAGGGGGGGTGAATAGTCTTTTCTAAAATTAATCGTATCGGCTAACCGATATAAATGCGGAATTAAAACAATCGGTCTAGCCAAGACTACACCCCTCTATATATGTTCACTAGCACCTTGCAAAGATACTAATAAAGCGACTAAGGTGCCGGGCTAGCTAGAGCTCTCCTAAACAATTCTAGGAGCAAGGTCACACAAACCTATGCCACTAGTACTTTAAGTAACAAGGGAGCTCCTACACATGCTAGTAAGCAAAAGCACAAAGCTAACTAAGCTCACTAGCAATGCTCAATAACAAGGCAACCAACGCCTAATTAGAGAGCGCAAATACTTAGCTACACAAACTAAGCAATGTGACTAACAAGGTTACTAAAACCAAATTAGCCACGCAAGGAAGCTACTTCTATGCTACACAAGCAAGAAGGTAATTAGCTAGCTACACAAGCTATCTAATTACAAGAGCAACTACACAAGCTTAAGATATATATATAAGTAATTGCAAGCTTGTGTAATGAGGATGCAAACCAACGGGAAGAACAAGGTTGACACGATGATTTTTCTCCACGAGGTTCACGTGTTTGCCAACACGCTAGTCCCCGTTGTGTCGACCGCTCACTTGGTGGTGGGCGGCTAATTAGCATCACCGCTAAGCCCGCGCGTCGGGCACCGCAAGAACCTACCCCTTGAGTGAGGGTAGCTCAATGACACGCTTTACTAAAGTTGCTCTTAGCGACTCCGCTGGGCGAGCACAATGCCCCTCACAAGCACTTCTCCGGAGCGCCAGACAAGCTTCTTGCGCGCTTCGACGGAGACCACCACCAAGCCGTCTAGGAGGTGGCAACCTCCAAGAGTAACAAGCACCACCGGCTCGCAACTCGATCACCTAGTGCCACTCGATACAACCTCACGATGCAATCGCACTAGAATCGCTCACTCACACAATCGAATGATCACTATCAAGTATATGTGTGATGGAGGGCTCCCAAGCACTCACAAGCACGGACACTAAGTCCCTTGAGGTGCTCCCACACCAGCCATGGCCGAGGGCCACTTCTATTTATAGCCCCAAGGGCTAAACTAGCCGTTACCCCTTCACTGGGCAACGGTCGGGACGACCGGACGCTCCGGTTCGATCGACCGGACGCTGGACCTCAGCGTCCGGTCGTGCGATGCACGCCACGTGTCCCCTCCTTCAAACGCTGTTCACCGGATCTCAACGGTCATCTCGTCGATCGGACGCTCCAAAGAAGAACCCGACCGGACGCAGCAACCCGGCGTCCGATCGTTTCAAGATAGTATTGACCTCGACCGGACGCGTCCGGTCACATTTGATCGGACGCGACCGGCGGTCGGTCACCTCCTTCTCACACATCAGACGTCGTCGACCGGACGGACGCACCGCCGGCGTCCGGTGCATTCAGATCCAGCGTCCGGTCGGTTGACCGACGCCAAAGATCTTCGCGACTAACTCATTTTCGCCGACTTCATCACCCTTGCTCCAATGTGCTAACCACAAGAACTTGCATCCGGCGCAATAGAAAATAGGCATTCTATTTTCCCGAAGCGCCGAATCCCGCCGAAGCTTATGAGGCGGGAGGGAGAGAGGACCCAAACCCATCTCACCCCGCAAACACCACCTCCTTTGTAAATGTGCCAACACCACCAAGTGTACACCACCATGTGTATGTGTGTTAGCATTTTCACAATCATTTCCCAAAGGATGTTAGCCACTCATCTTGCCACGCCACTCGATCCTAGCGACAATGCAAAGTTAGATCACTCGAGTGGCACTAGATGACCGATATGCAAACAAGTTTGCCCCTCTTGATAGTAACGGCCATCTATCCTAAACCCGGTCATAAACTTCTCTACACATATGACCGGTGAAATGAAATGCCCTAGGTTATACCTTTGCCTTGCGCATTCCATTCCATCTCCTCCAATGTCGATGCAACACATGCACCAACACTATCAACAATGATATGATCCACTTCATATCATCACGTGATCATATTGGTTCATCGATCTTGACTTCACTTGCCCTTCACCGTTGCCATCGTCCATCGGCGCCAAGTCTTGCTCAAGCTTCACCGCCACGTGGTCCATCACTCCAAAGCCTTCGACTTGCCCTTCACGCTTGCAACCGGTCCATCAAGCCAAGTCTTGTCTTGATCTTCTCCACCTTGATCACATGACTCAATGTCATGTCTCATGTGCAATAAGCTCCTTCATCATCACATGTGTGAGCTTTGCAACATCTCCAAGCCATTTTCACCTCCATGGCATATGTTGCTCATACACATGTACCTGTGGACTAATCACCTGTGTATCTACATAAACACAATTAGTCCACCTAGGTTGTCACTCAATTACCAAAACCAACAAGGACCTTTCACCCGGCAGCAACAGCCGAGCGCGAACGCACGCGCTCGTGCCTGCGGCCCCGCGCACGTCCGTGCCCAGGCGTCTGCACGCCGGTGAGAAAGAGAGGGAGCCCCATGTGCGACGGGGGCCCGGAGCAGCTACCGAGCGAGGGACACGAGGAAGTACTCGTCGCGAGCGAGCAGAGCGCAGCGGTGGGTGGCCGCGAGCAGCCGAGCAGGGAGGCCAGAGGCGCTCGCAGGGAGGCTATGGCGGGCACCACCTCGTCCACGCTGTGCGGCTGCGGGCGCGTGGGGATCCATCGTCGAGCTCCAAGAAACAGTAGTCTGCACAGATGGAGCCTCCACGTTCTATTCCTCCGACCCCAACCTCAGATCTGCCCGCTTCGTCTTCCAGGTCATCCCCATCTCCTCTATTTTCCCTTGCTATTCCTACTACGTCTACAAGATGTTCCCAACCAAATCGAAATTGGAACTCCCAGATCCAAATCGAAATCGGAAGCCGAGTCCAATTTGGAGGTCTGACTCCCGACGATATAAGCCGAGGCAGAGCAGATCCCCTTGCTCCCTGTTGTCCCTGGTAAGGTTTGCTCGATCATCTCGTTCGATCCATCCCGTGTTCATCCATCTTACTACTCTCCGCCCGCCGCCATGTCCTTTCTGGCCATCAGTGGCCGCCGCAGGAGGAGCCGGGATTGGCTGCAGATGGATGATACAATCCCTACTTCCGACTGGCTTCCAGTGACTATGCCGGTGCTCGTCGATGGCGAGATCTACTTGGTCGACGCCGAGTTGCCAATAATCCCCGACGACGACCGCCGCAGGCTGGACGAAATCCGGGACGAAGTCCGTCGACAGCGGGAGGATCTGGATATGGTTTTATACGGCCTCAACCGCAAGCGTGCTCGAGCCCCCGCCTCCAGCGATGATGCCATCCAGGGTCTGCTGCGGGAGGCGAGGGCTAGCGACGCGGGGATGCCGGAGGAGTGCGCCGTGTGCCTGCAGGATTTCGACGCGGACGCCAAGGAGACACTCAGGGTGATGTCGTGCTCCCACGCCTTCCATCCGGACTGTATCTTCAGCTGGCTCCGGGTTAAAGCTGTCTGCCCGCTGTGTCGTCACGCCCTGCCCACGCAGCAGCATGAAGACCCAGACTTTGAGGACGAAGACGACTCCGACGAAGACGAAGACGACACTGACTCCGACGAAGACGACGCCGTAAATCATCAGGAGGAGAGCACACCGGCGGTGACAGATCCAGAGGAGCCCTAACCCTAAGACCTGCCTACAACAAACATTGGTGGAGCCGTGTGTGCAATTGTTGCCAAATGTACATGTACCCAAGCAATCTTATTATCTATCGGCAGTTCCTTGATCTACTATTATTACTCTACTACTTGTAGCAGAGTTGTAATAATAATAATAATAATTCCTAAAAAGAAAGATTGATGTGTTTTATCTTCATTCAGTGTAATAAAAATAAAACTAAACAAGACGCACTGGGTTAGTATCTCTCTTCTTCCTTCACTAATTTGTTGGGGAAAAAAACGTTATACCATGGCTGATAAGCCGGTTTATAATGGGAGTCGAACCGTGTAACGAGCCTGTTCGTTTGGCTGTGGCTTGTCGTAAACGATCGTAAATTTTCAGCCGGAACAGTATTTTTTCTCTCACACAAACCAACCAGCAGTACTTCTTCACGAACCAACAACGAAACGAACCAGCCAACCGAACATGCTGTTATTTCTCATCTACTTTAGTTCAGTAACGTTTTATTTCTCTTCATCCTTGGTGTACTACTCTACTTCTGGCAGTTCGTTTAAGTGACGTACTGGCCCTTTCCGTTACACAAATCCTTCATGTTTGTTTGGTCAAAAATCTGATCAAACTTTTAAAACTTATTAAACTAAAAAAAACACTAGCTTTCATCAGAACATAAAAAAAGTATGTCCAGACTTATTTTCAAAAATAGTTCCACACTAAATCCCTCCACAAAATTTTAGCCATATTAAACATCCCATCACTAGATCAAAACACCCCATTCCCTAACTTGAGTTCAAACTTTGAAATCCAAGAAACTCAAGAGGGACTCGATCAAATACCAAGACACCGTCGATGCCAACAAGACGCCCACATAATGGCACGACAGGTGGCTAGGTACAACCGGAAGTCCCTACTCTGTGTCATGGTTTCAAACCATACAGATTGCCAACAGGTTGATGCGATTCAGTGACCCATCACTTGCCTTGCAATGTGTTTCAAAAAGAAACACGGATAATTTACATTTGCCAACAGCCTAAACGGAATCTAAAGCAACAAATTTGTTGTCTTCTTGAGCCACATCAAGATACTTCAGTACACACTCTGGCAACGGTCTGAGCGCCCCAAACTTCAGGTCCTCACACAACTAACGTCAATGGGACCCATTCTTCTTCATCCTCAGAAAGTTAACTAATGTGATTCTGGAGGGAACACCCGTGCCCTGCCTCTTCTTGATGGTAGTTGTCTTCCAAGGCCTCCCATCTCTTACACTGCTCGTGGTCGTCGAGGTCACGTTGTAGAACTGCATATAGACAAAGCCATGGTCAACACTACAGCTGTTCTTCCAGAGGAAGCTGTTGGATTTTCTTCGACTTGGGAAGATACTCACCTCACAAACACCATGCAGAAGCAGCCTCTGAAATGGGTCCTGGACATTCAGCATAAGCACATCCTAGTCACTAGTATCTTCAATGAAGGCCCTAACTCGTTCCTGCAAACATGAAAAGGCGAAGGTGACGTGAGCAACTGACAAGCTGAATCAAATTGGCTGGATGAAAAGTTGGTACAAGTGGTGTAAATGAAGTCAAGAAAACCATAATTCTAATAAGTGGAAAAGAAAACTCTGCTCCAGTTTCTAGTGAGCAAAAGAATTTCAGTTATCTAGTATTGATACCAACTTTTGAAACTCGTAAACGAATTTTAGCAAAAGGTGGAAACAAAGTAGTTACAGGGCTTTGGAGAATAAACACCAAAAATTTCTTTAACACACACCCTGTTCGGCTGGTATTAAAGCCGGCTGATAAGCCGGCTGAAGCTGTTTTGTTGCGAGAGAAAAATACTATAGATTCTAACTGATAAGCCGGATGATAAGACATCTCTGTTTTTACAAGCATAGTGTCAAACTGATATATTTTTTTATACTGGAAACATAACAGTTATTAAACAGCTATGAAATAAACTTCACTGAATTTTTTTAGTCCAGAAACTACAAGTAACAAACTAGATGTGGTATTGATAAATTATCTACATGTGCTTAGATAGCAGATACAGACATATACAAATACATAATCAAGAACTCTGATGTCTTCTTTACAAGAAAAACTAATTAGCTATGATCCATTATAATCATTTCAATAAATATAAGTCCAAACTTGAGGAAAGAAGGCAGTACTTCATATATTTCAAGCAGATCAGGAAGGAAATTTCTCTTTATTGCTTCTCTAGTTTGGCGATCTATCCGGTGCCAGGCATTCAGCGCAATCAATTCCCCTTCGTCCACATGATTCCTGGGTTTTTGGGATGATCTTTTCATATGTTGCATCAATCTTGCCTACAAATAAGAAAAAACTTGCTAAATACAACTGATCCACAAACTAATGCATGGAGTGATATACAGATCTTCTGTCTCAGTTGTTCATTTCACTAAATTATATTGTGGGCAATGATGAACAGAATGTGGCTAGCAAGAAAGGCATTAACATGCACGTACCTCAGCATCCATGTCAATGCTCCTGAAGGCATCCCATTCACCAACACTTGTCCTGCAGAATGCTGACAAGGGTGCTTCCTCACCTGCATAATTATTATAATATAAAAATGAGCTTTTCCAAAGTACACACATGAAAATATCATGCATGTGATGCCCATGATTAATGGAAGAGTGATTCCACGTAAGAATTTGAATGAAAACATGCGATTCATAATACAAGAGCAACAAGCATATGCTTCGACTAAATATTTTTTTAGTATTGTAGTCCATGTGGAAGTTAAAATGGGCATGCTTAACAGAAGACAGTCTCTATGTTTCTGCCGCATGCCAACATAATTTAGAGCTTTTCTGGTACACCACTACATGAAGAAATGTAACACTTTTGCAACAAATAGAGAAAGTACAACGAGAATATCTCGACTCCAAAGCTTTTAATAATGTAGCCCTTGTTTTAAAATGGGCATGCTTAAGAGAAGATGGCCTCTATTTTCCTGTAAACACACTGAAGAGCTTTTGTAGCACACGTATACATGAAGCATATCTAAAATATTTACAACAAGCCGTGCAAGTACAACAGCAAAGATTATTGTCAGGTTAGTAAAATTGCATTATTAAAACACTAAAGCAGCATCTGGAGTTTACCCCATGGTGGAGGAGCAAATAGGCCTTTGGTTTCTTCAACATGAAGACGCGGGACAAGTTCAATCAGCAAACGGTCATTCATCCACTTTCGTGATCTCCGGTTACTGACCTGTATATATAACATTGTAATGTGTAAACCATCAACAGGTGAACCCCTACTATACACAACAAAAAATGTTTCATTTACATCAGACTTGTATTCCATTACATTAAAGCCTGCAAACATAGAATATGTGATTTTGCACACTTTTTTTTATTTGTCATCACAGGAGATGCACAGGAATTTTTTGACTTATTAAGCATGCACATCACAGAAGAAAAAGGGTGGCAAGAGGTACAGAAGGCCAACACCAATCAGGATGAGCATCCTCTCACCTTGGTGGCCATGTCCTCGAGGAGTTCAATCTTCCTCTCGATCAGTTGTGAGCGCGACTTGGCGCCATCGCCTGCGCCCATACGCCACAATTTCAGCAAATATCGCTACCTCCGCCCAATTTGGGGGCGAAATCCACATCGCCATCCAAGAGACTGGTAAAGGCGTTACCTTTGGCGGAATCAAACAAGGAGGAGTAGAACTCCTCCTCCCTCCGCAGCAGATCCGCGCTCGCCATGGCTGGGGGAACCTTCTCTCCCACATGTCACAGTCTCGGGGTCCTGTGACTGCTGCGCGTGTCGACGCGGTCCCCAGTGGTCGGGCAGCGCAGCAGCGGCTGGAGTGGAAGGTTGGGCCGGGCGTCTGAGGACGCGAGATCAGCTGACGGCGATGCTCCGGCGGCAGTGGCGGGTGCGCCTTGTGGAATCGGGGCGGACTGGATTGGGGATTGGAACTTTGGCAGGAGAGATTGACAGATTGTGCGCTATTGATTCGCCTTCCGTGATTCCGTCACGAGGGCATCAAGGCAGGAACAGACTTGGGTTGGGCTAGAAACTTTAGGCGCGTGTACGCATTCCCAATGACAGTGGGACCGCCCTGTTATGGGGCCCGCATGTAAGGCATATGGGTTTCTTTTCTGTGGTCCCGTCTTTTAGACGAGGTCAAGCAGTCACGGAAACGGGAGAAGGATATCCGGATGCCAAAACATTTGGCCTTTTGTTGTAAAAAAAAACGTTTGCCCTTTTGGCCTGGGATCTTATGTGGTGCCCAACTTCCAACGGATCACGTCAACTTGTCAACTACTCCCTTTCTCACGTAAAAAGTGCCATTCTCACTTGCTAGAAATTAAACATTATCAACTTTAACAAATAGTTTGAAAATTTTAGGTGCGATGCATAGATGGGGCTTATGTAGGTACACCATCGTACCTATATACATGCATGGATAGTTAGCTTAGTTTTATAAAAGTAAGGGGCAAATTTACACATATCCTTACCTCACCTTGTCAGGCAAAAAAAAAGTGATTATGTGTTTGGATTTCTGACATGTTTTTTCTGTTTTATGTGCTGGCAAGGTCGTTTTTTCTTGCTATCCCAATCTAGCCAATTTAGCTCTTCTACCCTAGCAAAGGTAAGCTAGCACGCCCTGGCGAGATAAGGCGAGGATAGTCGAGCAACCAAACTAATCATTTGGCTCAGCTTATTGCATTGCTTGCAACTAATTGCATAAACACTTGTTTTTTTTTAAAAAAAAATGCATAAACACATGCAGTGTACTTCTGCTCAACTATAGTGTCATTGATTGTACATTTCATTGCAATATCGTTTTTAGCTCAAATAGAATGTCTCAAGTTCATAGCTAATGCTAATAATGTCGTTCTGCTGCACTACGTTGCACTACGATGTACGTATGCCCGAATTACAGATACTCTTTGGCAAGAGCTTAGGTGAAACATAGGAAATGGCAGCTGCACCCAGTTTTTAAAATCTGAACTGCACGACATTGAAAGCAAAGCTAGCCGTTATACACATGTGCTACCCGTTACTACAAGTGCCAAACTGCCTATATATATACATGCACATGTTCTTTGCTGATCTGCAATCCGTAGAAGCTCCAAGCCCACAGCACTATCAGGGCCTCTCCAAGCATTCAGTTCTTTTTGCTGGTTTGCATTCGTTAGTAGCCCCAACACCATCAGGTGAGCTCCAAGCACATCAAGAGATCTGCATACAAATGCAGCCTTCTCATTTGCATCCTGAAGAGACCAAGTAGCTCATCTCCACATCTGCTCAGTCACAAAACTCTAGACAAGCTGGGAATCAAAAGCGAGATGACATAGCACGAAGGATGTGGGATCATTACATAGCACGAAGGACTTAGTAACATTGTATTTACTGATATAAAAGTCAGGGTCATTGCAGCCCTTGTACTCCTAATTAGCAACTTAAATATTGTACTTGCATCTACCAAAAGAGTGTAACTAGCTAGAACCGAGTTTACCACCTACTGACCTAGGTTACACACACATGTTTCTTGTCAAATAGGCCGTAGGAACCGAATCCTCTAGAATTATTCCTTCACTTTTCCCTGTGAACCAAAGAGCCACGTAGGAAAGAATCCTCAGGAAACTCTAATCCTCCAAAATTCCTTTGTTTTCCATGTAATCCAAAGGGCCCCTAAAAGGTGTGACCGAGTGGCATGTGAGTTCTATTGGAGCAAGGCTAATAATATAGCTGACTACTGGCTGCAAGGATCCTTACAGCTTACCTCTCAGTCCACGTGGATTAAGAGTAGTAGTTAGCTCTTCAACATTAATATATGGTCCACCTTTCTCCCCCACAAAGTTTCTTAGCTCTTGTGTCTAAGCCGGCTGTAAGCTTACAACCCGCTTCATCTCTCTCTCCTCTCCTCTCTCCTCTATATCAGCATTCAGCCTGCTTACGGCTTGCTATTATACTTGCTCTTACTTATTATGGAAGTCACTCAAGCATCTGTTTTCTACTAAATGGAATTTAAAGGAGTAATTAATAACTCGTTTAAACAAGAAAGTTAATAACGACAACATGGGAAAAAAGCTCGTGTTAACAGCTTTGACAACTCACCAAATATGAGGTTTTTAGCAAAAAAAGGAATCACACGGGATAGTTTAGCTACCAGGTGAATCACACTACAATAGTACATGTCTCTTACATTCAACATGCTAATAACTAATTAATTGGAAGGAATCACACAAAAATATTTACATATCAGGTGAACCAGTAGATGGTTTTACACGGCAAGCGTAAGATAGGACATTTCATTTTTTTAAACGCAATAATTCGACATTTAGACACCAATATGCACTAGGGCATCCAGTCCAACGTTGTTAGTGTCCAAATGTGGGATCACGTCATCCCGGTTGATAGTGTCAGAATCTTGCACACCAAGCATGCTTGCTCATCCCCTTAAAACACGCGCAGCTTAAAAAGACCTTATTGTTAACAAACAGCTAAACAAATATTTTAATGCCTACTTACAATGGTTGGAATGATTTTTAATTTGTTGGAATTTGATAAATTTGTAGGAAATATCTAAACGACTGTAGAGAACTACCTGCCGCTTGAGGGCCATTAATTAAAATAAAACTATTAGAAAATATCAAATTTTCGGTAACGTTTTACCTAGCCTTTAGAATATATATAAACGAAATTTAGGAGGTTAATAGACAAGACAACTGTACAAGTTTAAGAGGCTAGGCGAAACAACTACGAGAAATGGCAGCAACGTTTTGTCGACATTCACATTGGTCTTGTCCTTTGCGCCAAAATTCTATTACATATTACATATACAAGTTGTAGCCGTTTTCACCTGCTCCAAAATGACAAATTATGTTAGATACATAAGTTTTTTTTAGTATAAATATACGGCAATGCTACAGAACATACGTTCAGAATTAAAAAAAAGATGCTCTACTCCACTCTCGCTCCAGCACAGCGACCGGTCCAACAGGCCCATGTACGCTCTCTACTCTATCCACTCCATCTACACTGCGACAGCCGATAGAAATCCCCAACTCCTTTTTGCTCGTCATGGCTCACCACTCCGTTAGCTCGCCCCAAGCCGCCTCGCGGCGGTAACTCCATACCGCGCCAATCTACTGCCGTGTCGTGCTCCATCCCCGCCACGCCCACTCCGCCTTGTCGCGCCGTGCCCTATCCCTTGCCGCGTCGAGGTGCTACCGACGATGCCGTTCCCCACCAGGAGGTCGTGGCCGTTGTCGACGCCGGCTCCGTCGCACCTCTCAACCTTAGCTCGCGACATCACGAGATATGGAGTGGCCAGACCCGGAGCGGGTTTCTCTGGCTGCACCTTGCACTCCCTTCCTTCCTCGGATGTTGCAAGCACGTGTTGCAAGGGTATGCTTCAAGCGTTTCAGGTGTTTCATATGCATGTTACAAGTGTTTCATGTGGATGTTGCAAGAGTAGATTGGGATGTTGCATATGTTGCAATTGTTGTCCACGTATGTTGCAAGCGTTTGTTCCAAATGTTTCAGTTATTTCAGACGAATATTGCACGTCTGGGTATTGCATATGTTTTCATAGTTATGTTGCAAATGTTTTATCTGGTGTTGCATATGTTTTACACTTATGTTGCAAGTGTTTCATCAGGATGTTGCATATGTTTTGCACACGTGTTTCGGACGTATGTTGCAAGTGTTTTAACTGTTTCGGACGTATGTTGTAGTGGACCCCATCTGCACCGCTTGCTGCAGCTGTTGGGACTTTTCTGCATGCGCGTGGGTGTAGACGAGGTGCGAGCGATAGGCGCGGGAAACTGTGCGGGCGCAGATCGAGACGGAGCGGGCGTGGGACACAGAGTGGCACATGGCACACAGCCTGTTCGGTTGGCTGGTTCGTTTCGTTGCTGGTTCGTGAAGAAGTACTGCTGGCTGGTTTGTGTGAAAGAAAAATACTGTTCCGGTTGAAAATTTACGATCGTTTACGACAAGCCACAGCCAAACGAACAGGCTGATAGTGGGCGCGGGACACGGAGAGGCGCGAGACCCCAACGTGAAGTAGGCGTGTGGCGTGGGCGTCCGGACCCTAGCATTTCCTATCAGTATAACTTGTATCTGTATATACTATATTAAACCGCACCCAAGCTACTAACAACATAGTATTGAAAAAGGCTTTTGACAAAATAAAACGACACTAACAAAGTTGCAAACATTTTAGTTTTATAAAACGACACTAACAAAGTTGCAAACATTTTAGTTTTATAGAAATTCTCTGTACGTAAGGCCTTTGTCTATCGATTTCGAGCGTGTTTGGTTTGTCGGCCGGGCACCTCTCTCAGCTAGTACACAACAACTCTTGCACAGGCCGACAGGCCATCTGAAATGTCAATATATAGGTCATGTTCGCTTCTCTTATAATCTATTTTTTTCAGCTTATTTTTTTAGCTGGAACAGTGTTTTTCCTGTCACAATAAATTAGCCGGAACAGTGCTTCGGCTTGTTTTTCAGCGAAGTGAACGGGGCCATAATGTGGACATCTACCGACTTGCAGCAATAATGGGCTGATGGCAACCCCTACCATAGTACAAACATGAACATCGCTCTCATCTTCCTTTATTATTATTAGGGAAATTGGTTCTGTAGCACCGAAAAAACTCCGCTTCCGTAAAATGTCATCGAAAAATATCCGTCACTTAAAATACCGCTGAAAGGATATCCCGTTAACTAGATCTAGCATTCC